AGGAGTTTATTTGTGAAGCCGATTTGCCCATGGAAGGTAAATTACTGACTGTTAGTATCTGATTGATTATACTTAAAGGACATTTTACAAAATAATCGTTAAATAAGGATTAGGATTCTCATGTAAAATATCGTCTTTGTTGATTAAAATAATGTTATTTTTGTTCTCTTTATTACATAAATTGGACATAATACTCCAAGCAGTTCGAGATTTATTGTCGGAATTAATAATCTTTCTTTGATAATAACTTATTTTAGTATTCATGATCAATAGCTGATGATTTTTCTTTTCCCTATTATATATTATAGATAATTCAGGAATACTTTTTGTAAAATAAAGAGTTCTTTCAAATTCAAACTAGAAATTCTTACTTCATTGTAAACCCATTGTTTGTTAACATCCCTACTCATATAAATCTTTCGAAGCAGAAAATATACTTCAAAATAATGACGAAAAATATCATAAAAATAATTCATACAAATTTCCCCAGTCTTCGTTACAGAGAGCAGAAACAAAATTTAATATAGAATGTTCACTAAAATTTCTTCTGAAAAATGATACACTATTGCTGCTTAGCTCCACTATGCTTAGCTCAAATAAAACAGAACGATGATCAGAGTATTGTCAAAAAGGCCACTTCACAATAATGCACTTTTTTGCACACTTTTTGCAACAATAACGAGCTATTTTCGAAAACTGATTTTTCCGCGTTCTACCTTTATTTTACAGTTAATAAATTGATGAAAAATGACTTTAAGTACCTTAAATTGTAGAAATTTAATTGCCTACAACATGAAACAACTAATTTTTGGATAGGTCGTCTGGATTTTCAAGGACAGTAAATGAATGAAATAACACGTAATTTTGCTTCCTATTTACAATTTGCCAACTTATCATCACGTGTTTCGAGTTAGTTCTTTAATATTATCTATATACCCTTCACCGTAAAAGTGCAATAAATACTAATAATTTATTTAAGTTTTCAGAGTTTATGATCTAATTCGACTGGACTTATATTATTTAAGTAACATTAGTAATGTAGATCTTATTTAAATCTTAACACTGCTCAGAAAATTTTGAGATTAAAGCAAAAGTATATTTTTTTAAGTAAGTTTAACTGTCAACTAAATCTATATCTGCCACCTTTCTTACAAATGTTTTTTGTGACACCTAACATAACTGTAAAATAAATTTATCAGGAAAAAAAAAACAAACAGTTCTTAAAATATTACAAAATGCACATAGAACGACGAAAGTTCATTCATTTATTTACAATTTATACACAGTGTAACACCAATAATGCCGAAAAGTTTCAAATAAAAGTTACATCAAACAATTTCTTCACATTTTAAAATTGGTTTTAATTATACAGCATGTCCTATTTCTTCTGGGTGTTTTCTGGTTTTCGGCCTACTTTGATAAACAGATATTAGGTTTAAAACGTACCTTTCGGTGTTATTTGATGTTTTTAACAAAAATGAATGTTTGCAGCATGAATATATCGAATATATCCGAAAGTAGACATAACAAAATGCGGATTTCAAAATACACGCTAATAATAAAATAATGAAAGCATACAATACTGTTAGAAAAACATTAAAATGATCTAGAACAATAACACACACCGACAAAATTTTAAACCAAAAATCGGACTATTCTTCTTCAAAGATTTTTGACGGGCTGAATTGGAATCCAATCTCGCTTCAGGTTTTCCAAATATCCTAATCTAAAAGTGCGAAAAACAAGAGATTTAAATCCATCATCATTTTCACCATCAATAAAATATGGATAATATATTATTAAGATACGCTTTGCTGTGATGTGGTATAAGTTAACTTTGATTTTCTCAGTAAAATTTTAACATATCTTAAAGAGATCGCCGGAATATTTCACAAAACATTGAACATAAGGGAAGAAAGGCTGAATGTTTAAAATGAAGGACCAAATAAAAAAGAATCAAGAGTTGCAGACGAAAATAAGTGATATCCTAACACATGTTCTGTTAACACATGTGGGAACAAAATGAATCGGTATTGTTGAGGATGACTGCTGTATATGCAGTGTTTTCGGTGTGCCCTAATGCCCCTAATCTCTGATGGGTCACCACTGCTTGTGTGGACCACTCTCGTATTTTATATTTTATCAAAACAATGAAAAAAATATTTGTGTTCTTTGATATTTAATGTTTACATGATTTTTTTTTATTATTAAAAAGGACTTTATATGGGTCCGGTCAAGTAATAATTTGTGTTTCGGCAGTTTGTGGAGCTTGTACTGAAATAAATTGTTTGGTACATCAAAGATCTATTTAGGGTATTTGTTACGTAATAATTATGCAATGAGCATTTAATGATAGCTATTAAGACAATATTTTTCCAAAATACTTATAAAAATTTATAAAAAAAATTATTTTAATAAAAGTTGTATGGAATCATATGGGCCATGGAAAGAAAATGTTTTTAACTTTACAGAGTGTTCTATTTCTCGTGAGCGCTACATAACTTTGTTATTTTAAATGGAACACCCTGTATATTATTGCGTTTTTGAATTCCTTCGTTAATATTAGGTAGAGTTTATTAAATATACATGGTGTTTAAAACTTACCGTTTTCGATATAATCAGTTGTTTTTGTAGAAAATCACGATATCAGCTCTCAAAACCGTAAGAGTTAGAAACCTGCAATTTTCACAGTTCGTTTTGACATAAATTACTCTATGTTGTCATCTGTGAGCAAAACGTGTACGTTGTTCAGGCTCGGAAATACTGAGACCTACATTTAATAATCGAGTTAAAAATCTTTTTTTTTTTTCAAATGGAATGACCCATATTAATTTTCATGAGTGCATGATAAATTGAATGCCCTTTCGACTGATATAAGGTTGTCCATACTTATCTAACAGTTTTCCAGAAAAGTCAGGTTCTTTTCTAAAGTCCAAAAAAGTAGCTATGTAACAGCGTCAATAAGGCCTTGCAATTGTACTAGTACAACGTTGATACTTAGGATTTTACGAAAGCACAGCACAGCACATCCTTATCGCATCCAATGACACCAAGAGTTACTAAAAGTAGACTTTAGGCGGAGAAGTTTTGTCAGTGGACACTTCAGATGTTAAATCAAGATGACGATTTTTTTGAACGGGTCATGTTCTCCGACAAGGCTACTTTTCATAAAAATGGTTTCGTTAATAGTCATAATTGCCATTATTATGACACAGTAAATCCTCACCAATTCCGGACAACACATAGCCAACGATGGTCTTTGAACGTATGGGGAGCAATTTTGGGAACCCATGTCATTGGACCATTCCTTTTTGACCAGCATCTAACTGGAGCAGTTTATTTAAACTTTTAACAAACACTCTAGCTCCAGAAGATCTGTTAGGCGACATTCCTTTAGCTACACTTCGAAGAATGTGGATCCAACATGATGGTGCTCCACCTCATATTACCGCTACGATTCGTCAGTTTTTACAAGAAACTTTTCCCAACAGATGGATTGGTCGCGGGGAACCAGTAAGTTGGTTCTAGGTGTCCAGTATGACAAGTTGCAACTTCTTTTTATGGGGATTTATAAAAAGCAAAGTTTACGTCACACCACCAATACCGCGAAAGATATGTGGCAGCGCATTGCAGTAGCATTTCAAAAAATTACGCCAGATGTGTTGACCAATGTTGAACAGGCTTTTAAAAACCGAATTCGTTTGTGTAAATCATGTAAATTAGCGGTCTAAGTGTTCTTCTCCTTGTGTTCCGAGTTTCAGTTTGTCTCGTTTTGCGTTTTGTTTTAGTTGTTGTTAGTGGTTTACTTTTGTTTGTCAAACCACTTCTTAAACATACCAGTAAATTGACACTGTCAGTCCCAGTCCTGATAAAATGTGAGAGAAAAATGATTTTGCAAGGCTTTCTTGACGCTGTTACATAGCTACTTTTTCGGACTTTAGAAAAGAACCTGATTTTTCTGGAAAACTGTTAAAAAAAATAAGTATGGACAACCTTATATCAGTCGAAAGGGCATTCAATTTTATATTCACCCATGACAATTAATATGAGTTATTCCATTCGAAAAAAAAAAAGTTTTTCAACTCCTAAGATTATTAAATGTAGGTCTCAGTATTTCCGAATCTGAATAACGTACATGTTTTGCTCACAGATGACAAGATAGAGTAATTTATGCCAAAACGAACTGTGAAAACTTCAGGTTTCTAACTCTTGCGGTTTAGACGCTATCTAGCCTCATTTAGAGAGCTGAAATTGTGATTTTTTTCAAAAACAACTAATTATCTCGTAATGATTGAATGATTTCCGGGCTGGTTGCCACGTCGTCGATTTATAACACTTGAAGTTTCGAGAGACATATCGCTCTCTTCTTCAGAAGTTATTCAGCCCGGAAATCATTCAACCATTAACGACAGCCACGGAAGCCTACAAACAAAACTGATTATCTCGAAAATGGTAAGTTTTAAACGCTATGTACATTTAATAAACCTAATATTAACAAAAAAATTCAAAAATTCAATAATATACAGGGTGTTCCATTTAAAATAACACAGTTATATAGCACCCACGCGAAATGGAACACTCTGTAAAGGTAAAAATATTTTCTCTATATGGCCCACATAATTCCAGGCAACTTTTATTAAAACCATTTATTAATAAATTTTACAATTGCAGAGTTACAGAAGAATCTCTCTTGGGTGGAACACCCTTTATATGAGTATCCAAGAAACAGGATTTTTTTCAGAATTTTCAGCTACTGTGAGCAATTTACTCAAATCCTGTGGATGCTGGAGTAAAACTAACGACGGATTTAGCACGTCAAAATACATAACAACAGTCTGGTGGAGTCTTCAGGTCAATCCACTTCTCTTTATTTTGTGCTTGTGGCATTAATCGAAGGAAAACATGTATGTGAAATGAAAAGTTCCAATTGTATTGAAAGTAAACAAATATTTTATTTTTAACTACAAATAATATATAAAATAAAAATATCAACGTACTATCTAATATGTATTGCCAGTTTGCTCCATTTCAATCTCGGCCTCGGCAACAGCTTGAAATAACTTGCTTTTAACTGCGCGTTGTAATGCTGGAGGTAGTTTTTTAGTTGAAGCATACATGGCATCAAAAAATAATTTCAAACTATCTTCAGGCACTGGACAAAATTCTGTTTGGGTCCAGTGTATTCCTGTAGGTGTTCCGTCTGACTGATCGTTTCTGCTTTTAGCAGTTAAACACATTTTTTTGGGTGGAACGGGACTGTCGCTTTGGAAACATCCTTCATTTCCGGCGTCAATCGAATCTGGAGCTTCAAAATACTCCAAATCTTCTTCTTTAATTATGTCACTAGGCCTATTTTCCTGAGAATTCTCGTCAAGCGTATCAATGTCTTCGGAATGCTCAGAATTCGCATTATCTTTTCTTTGTCGGTTCCGCATATAAGGACGCAGAAAATTCATTTGCTCGAAGTATTTCCACGTTCTGATTTTTTTAGAAGGGTCAGTTTTACCCGACGTGTACAGCTTGAGGGCGCTTCTGTACCCATCGCGAAGACTTTTCCAATATTTTTTCGCTTCTTCACCTGTAACAAATTTTTATTTCATTATTTTTGCGTAGACAGACTGTTTGTATCAACAGGATAATAATAATAATAATAAAGCTTGAGTTTGAAGATATAGGTACCTACTATGTAAAAAACTGAGATGAATAACAGGTTACCAACTAAAGATATACAAAAAAAATTAGAGCGTCCACATTTAATGAAACAAAGGCAAAAAAGAATCCAAAAAGGAAAGGATTTGAAATGTAGGCAATGACGTGATGAAACAGATAAATATTTTGCAACAAAAGAAATCAAAATGAAATGTGCCAAAGAAATGACACATGTTACAAAAGATTGAGAGTTATCAAAGAAAATAATTAAAAAATAGATCCTTCAGCTTATGCGCATATATATACAAAGCGGAAGCGAGCATTTGAATGAGACAAAGAAATGATAACTATAGAAACTATAGAAAGAAAGTGAGAAAAATTATCAAAGAAAAAATATTAAAGATTATATCCTCAGGCACAAATACATACAAAGGTTAAGGGAGCAAAAGAGTGTCTGAAGCTTATAAAATCTTTCTACATATCGTCTTGTTAAACGGATATTTCGCTGTTGTGGCACAGCATTATTAGTGTTACCAGTATCGCAGGAAAAAAGCGTTTAGGGGGCAAAATATAAAACAAATCAATACCAATATTTACTAGTTTCGATTTGCGAATGTATTTCCCCATTTTCCTCAACTTCTCAAAAGATTTGGGGGAGAATATCGATACTCTCGTTCTAATATGACGTATCCTACATTGGAAAAAATTTTCAGGAGACCATAAAACTGTTTCACTCTCATAATTAAAAAAGTTAATTTTTATTTTTTATGCTAATTAAAGTGTACAATAATAATTGAAGCAAAAAAAACATTTAAATAAATTATATAATTATATTAAAAAATAGCTATTTACACCATAAAGGACGAAGTCGAGGACGATTTTGCGCCCGAGCGGAGCGAGGGCTGGCAATAGAGCCCGAGACTGGTAAATTATACTTAACTGCTGCGTGGTGTACAACATTTTATCTGCTCCCACAGTTATTGAGTTTTTTATCGTTTCTAAGGTGTTTATAAACAAAGCTACATAAAAGTTGCAATTTTGCTGGTTTTGAATAATTATTTCTAAATGAGTGATTTTCAAATAGAAAGTGCAGCAAATTTTTATTACCCGAAAAGTCGAAAGTGCGCTACGGACGACCATATAGAAATTTCAAAGAATGGTCCAGAACAAAAATACTGGTGTTTCTAAAATATAACTGCTAGCATATTTCATGGAGAAGTCAAGAACTTTAAAGTTACCGGCGAGTTTGTGGAGTGAATACTCAATGATCAAGTCAACTATTTTCATAAAGGAGTACGCGGATATATCAAAATACCCCAAGCTGAGAGTATTTTTGAAACGTAAGAATGGCGGCTATACACCTAAAAAATCAAACGTTTTTACAAGAAAACAAGTCAACGATTTTCTCGTTCAGGCACCCGATAACACATATTTGCTAATGAAGGTAGTAACGGTCTTTGACATTGCAGGAGCATGCCGTTCTGATGAGTTATGCAAACTTATTTTGGACAACGTCAATTTCAGAAATTTCGATAATATTATTGTAGTTCCAATTCCAGATTATAAAAATGGTATGTCACGTACGTAAATAATTACTTCTCGACTGGGTTCTGTTTCTCACGAAATATATCAAGATTAGATTGGAAATTAAAACTGAAATTTCACGCTTTTTTATGCGTTATCAAGCACGTAGATGTTACAACCAACCAATCGACGAGAATACACTTTCTATGATTCCTAATGAGGTTGCACAGTTTTTGAAACTAGAACATCCTGAAACATATACAGGCCATTCATTCCGAAGAACATCGGCAACGTTACTGGCTAATACAGAAATTCATGTATTAGTAATCAAGAGACATGCTGGGTGGAAATCAGCCACAATTGCAGAAAGTTATGTTGCTGACAGTTTAAATAACAAAAATGAAATAGCCAACAGGATTCATTACAATGACACTTCAACTCCAGGTTCTAGTAGTACGTCACATCATGCTGTTTTAATGGATCAGTCAGATAATATTGAGCCTCCGGTAACTGAAATGAAGCGGTTAAATCATTTTGAGAAAAATGTGACAATTAGTAAACGCGAGGGGAATAATTATCTAGATTTTATAAATGTTACTAAATGTAATAACTGTACAATTACTATAAATATCCATTCATAATAATTAATAAAATGTAATGTTCATCAAATATTTCTATTTATTTGTTCATAAAATATGCATTTATAACTCGAAATCGCTTTTTTCCCTAGGAAGGTAAGTTACCTCACTTACCTAGAGTAGCAACTTCCACTTCTATGGTAAAATCCACTTACCTCCTTAAAAACAATGTATTAATAGTCTATTTACTATAGTGGGAGCAGATAAATTATTTTTAATTAGTTACCTTCCTGCTCATTTTTTTAAAGTATTTTGTTAAAACTAACTTAAAACTAATCTAGAGTGACTGTCAAATCGCTGATGTTAACTTTAGTACCTATGTGGAATACGACATTTTAGAATACGTGAGAATCGGCGTGAGGAATAAGATATATTAGAATATTTGTTTAAAAGTAGTAAATAAACAATTTGACCTTAAAAACCTTAACGGAAGCTGCAAAACGTTATTACAATTCCATTTCCAAGAAAAGTGAAATTGTCAAATTTAGTGGAATACGTCATATTAGAACGACGTTAACGATATAATAATAATAATAATACAAAATAATATATAGCATTAGTCAACACTTGAAGATAGAACACCTAGAAACTAAAGAGAGATCAAAAGAAAAAAAAAAACATATACAAACATAAAAGAAAATAAATAACCTAGCAAAAGTATTCAGACATAGAATAAAAACATTTAACTGACAAATACAATCTTAACTTTCGTTTGAACTGGCCAATTTTTTTACACTCTTTTATTTCCTATGGCAAATGATTAAATATTTTGGGTCCTAAGTAATTTGGCCCTTTACCTACAATTGATAATTTTGTGAAAGGTATACGTATTTCATTATTTTTTCGGGTATTAATATTGTGAAGATCCCTATTCAAACAAAATTTATCTACATTTTTAAAAACATACATCGACATTTCAAATAAATACAAGTATTGTTTTTAAACTAATATTGCATTAAAAATTGTAAATCAGATAGCCATTAGCGCACGTTATTACAAATTCAAGAAATTTATTACAGTGAAAATATTCATATGATATTCAAAGATTTTATTTCGTGGCACCTCATTTAGAGCTATATCTCAGTTGGCGTTGACTTTTATATAGTATGCTTTATGTACAGGGATGCCTAAACTATCTTAATTTTGTCTCAGATGTGCTTCCCAACCAATCTGGGATACTATGTGTAAGAAAGCAATGCGGTGAATTTAATCATTCCAACAAAAACTTCAAGGTAATCCTGAAAGATTTTGTAGATTTTCCTTCAAGGAATTAAAATGTAATCATGATTTTATTGGTTTCCGCTACGCTTAGTCTCCCTCACATCCGCTTTTTGTGTAAGTGCATTTACACTGATAATAGTCAGTAAGCCACAAAATATTTAAGTATCTAAGTAAATACGTAAGTAAAACTTTTGTTTATTGAAATTCTATTTGTCGTTGAAGTAAATAAATACAATAAAATATCAGAATTGTCTTAAACCATAAGTTTTACCATATTTAACCCAAGTTTTTATAAAAACTTAATTAAAATCACTCAATGGACTGAAAGTAAGTACGTAGTAAGAATAAATATTTTCCTATTCACTAGTATTTACTGAAATAGTGAAGTCTAACTTGAAATTATATCTATCGCAGTTTCTAGCAGAATTTATATAGTAAACAAAAGAATAATTTAACAAAGGTGTGTTACTAATCTTTTTTAGATGAATATAAATCAAAAGAGGAGCGAAAGAAACATCACTAAAGGAAAATAAATACCAGAATTTTTCAAAACGTATTTACATCTCTTGTAGTTTCAAAGCGCCTCCACCATTAACAGCGGAAATAAATCAAGCTTATTTTCCCATGTATATACAAAAACATTTTCAGCGTTATTACATTAATGCTTAATGTTAAATGCATCCTTTTAATATTTGTACAAAGCTACATATTTAGATAAGTAGTATTTCTTTCCTATCAAATAAATGTAAATTGAGTTATATTCGAGCTAGTTGTGCAGAGAAACAGGTAACAAAATTTTTTAGGTCTCAAGGAAACCTAACAGAGAAATGTTCACATTCGTTTTCGGAGTGTCTGTCATCGAACTGTAAACATGACCGTATTCTTTTTCTTAAAGAAACTACTTTATTATTATTTAATATTATTTAATAATGATTGTATCTAACTCTATTTGCAACATCCTTTAAAAAACTCCTTCAAAGTTTTCTATTTGTTTTTTATTTATTCGTGCTATAACAAGGTGAAATGTATATTTATTAGTTAATAGTTTTGTATATCAATTTCATACAAACTTGTTACTTCTTTCTGAATACCTACCTTTTATGAAAATCCTTTTGAAAAACTATAGGTCTATCGTCTAACAAAAATAATGTGCGAACATAATTATACAATTTACTTTACAGTTTGACAATAGTAGTATTTCCGTAAGAATGTTTTAACAAAATGTATAAAAATATTTCAAAAAAATTGTAGGTGTAAGTGTTAAATTTTAAGAAAGGAGCTGACTCGTATCTATGACACTGGCAAGTAAAATATATATTTACCAGTATATCGTTTTTTAAGTTATAAATGTAACTATTGCTGTACCAAATTTTGTGAAGCTATCATTACCCATTCTTGAAATATAAAAAAAAAATTGATGTTAATTTTTGTTTTCGCAAATAGTGCTTCCCAAACCATACAATTGTCATTTAAAGAATAACGACGTAGAGAAGTCAGCAGTTGCAGAGAGAGAGAGGCAGAAAGAAAATATTTAGGTCCAGACTCTATAGACGTAGTAGATACAAAAAATTTTAGATAAATTCAACGGAGCTGAGAACTTAAAGCTACATGAAATTTGGGCGAACAACTCATCAGTAAGAATCAAAGACTAAAATGCCACAGGCCAGTTACTAACTTTAAATCATACGCTGAAACGCCATAGATCAGTGAACGCAGCAAATATAAATACCGGTCAGAGTTTTTTATCTACATTTTCAGAGTTTCCTTTTGAAGAAGAGAAATGTGTATATCTTTTGAAAGTCAAGAATTCTAAAACAACAACGTGGTAGCCAACAGGCAACAGGTTACCATAGAAATTTTGAGGAATTTTACCACACTTTTTATTACAGTGCGAAAACATTTCTCAAGTCTTGATAGATACATGAAGGAGGAATTTTCATGCAAAATCACAATACCCTTGACAAGCAGTCGACATTTGCTTAAATTATTAGAACTTGGGAAAAACTAATGTGGATGGCAAAACACTGATCTTTTTTATCAGGGGTTCCATTTGTTCCATAAAGTACTTCATTACGATAGACAGTCTTCATAGTGAATATCCTTTTTTGAATATAGACGTCTTTTTAATGAACGTCTCATCCATAACATTGTTTCCATAAACTGAAGTTGACGCTGCTAAATTTCATTAGTTATATGATTCTGCTTTTAAAATGATTAATTTTGATAACTGAAGGTCTCTTACTGCACAGAGTAGCGTATAACATTAAAGCCGACCGCACATTGAGATGCAGGCGACACAGGGCAGGGTAGGGCAGGTTACACAGTTCAGGAAAAAAACGTGTCACGCAGTGTGAACGCTACTTGAAACAGTCTTGGCAGTTCTTGCTTATATGCGAATGCGATAACAATATATTTGGGCATTAAAAGGTTTGTTTTTAAATTTTGATCATGGCATTGTTTCTGGACAGTTCTGAGTCAGATTCTGACGCAGAATTTGAAGAAACTGTTTTATTATATAACATTTCAAAGAGGAAAGTCATTTTGGAAAAGCAACTATATGAAAAGGAGAAATACTCATGGGGAATTTGCACTATCGTCCGAATTTTCTGAGCCTATTTTTTCAAACACCAAAAACTACTATGCACGTGGCGCAGGAAACTGTGTCCGGAAGACTGCGCTATGCAGGTTTACTTAAACGCAGTTCTGTGCTACCCTACTCTGCGTTCCAATTCGCGCGGGTCTATTAAGTTGTAGTGAATATACCTGCACTACCCTGCCCTGCGTTACCTGCGTCACTTGCATCTCAATGTGCGGCCGGCTTAAGACAGTAACTCTGTTCCTAGAGGAACCCAAAACAGTTTCCAACAGTCAAACGCATGCGCATTCCGATATAATGCTTACATGAGGTTCAAAATTAATTGTTCCAAATCAAATACGATTACGTCTGACTGTTGAAAACTGCTTCTAATACACTAAGAATAAAGCTATTGCAATACAGTATTTTCTGTTAAATTAAATATTGCGAGTTTAGCTGAAAATAAGTACATAAATAAATAATGATATTTTCATAATCCAGTCCTAATTTTTGTTGAGGAATTTATGTCATGACATACCCGAAGCCATTCCGCAATTCTTCGCAATCTGAGACCATATTTTTAATTTAAAATAGTTATCACTATATTCTTTCCGGTCTGTGTTGTACAATACTTCATGCATTCTAACACATTCTATTAGTTTCTCGTCCAAAATAACTTTTGAACACATCCTTTAATGAATGAATCGGTCTCCGACACAAAGCGTAGCTCTGACTAACAGTTGTCCCTGCGAGGCGAGAGCTCGCGCTGGCGTGCTAAACTTTGCGGGGCGAAATGAAACGAAACTGTCTTCGTGGCCATCCGCGCTACGCTATTCTCTGGCAGCCAAGCGAATAACGTGTCGAACAAGCCACGATGTTACTACCATAGCCGTAGAAATCTAAAACTGGATCAAACTGTGGCTTTCATTTCTTGTAAATAAATTATTTGCGTTAATTTTCCTTGTGTAAGATTGGAGTTTTTCATAGGGGGAAATAAAGGGTTGAAGAGGTTGAGTAGGATGGAAATCGTTAACGATTAATACGTTGACATGTAAATATTTGTTTTCTATCGTGCGGGCGTAAGGGTACGTATGTATAACTAAAGAAAAACATAAACACCTAAAACAAATATCCTACATGGCATCCTGCCTGGACAGGTCAGGCTTTGATTATTATGATGGTGAAACGAGGTGATTCTTTCGTTGTGAACGGCCACTAAATATGTCAGGTGCGCACACTTTAGTTATACAGGGTGGTCCGAATTTTATGCAGGAAACTTCGAGGACAGATAGACCTCTTTAAAACTAACTGGCAACAAACATGTACATTATATCACGGCATAACAACCCTAAAAACTATCTTAAAAAAAAAGTTCATGAAGCTTACCAGCAATTAGGCCATGCTTCGCCCTTTTTGCCTGCTAACTTACATTACCCTCCACCTTAACAATCACAAACATCCATGGTTACGACAGGAAAATTCCTTCGAATTTTTCTACCGCGTGCGGGATTTGAACCCACTACGGTTTTGCCGCACAGCCCTGGTTCGCCTCAGTAGGCAAGCCTTGTGGTTTTAATGGAGCTGTATTAACTGCCTTTCACAAAATGAAAAAAATTGTTTCAATTATCAAATTATTGGACTGGGCTGTTTTGTGTCAACATAAGACTTTTTATATGAGAAAAAAGCAACAAAATTGAACTGCGGGAACAGATAGAACTCATAAAAATTAGTATGTAGGTAATATAAAATGTTTTTTCACTAAATTGCCTCGTTAACAAGTTAAGACGTACTTACAAGCAATTTGACATAATAGGTTTGTTTATTAATGTTCCTCACATCAAAGCAATGATTTTATACATAGATCAGGTTATTTCGCCATCATTTTTTTATATTAAGCTGTTTTCGAGATATTAAAAGTTAAAAATCACTCTTTCAATTCTCTTTCCATTTTTTTTCTTCGAATAAACATCACTGAAGTTTATTTTACAGAATCAATCAAATTTCGTGACAATTTATAAATATTTTTACAGAGTGAATTAAAATGTGCATTTGCAATATTAGTGATGTTTGTAAATTGTCACATAAATCTCATTCATTCTGCAAAATAATTTTAGATAACAAATCAATGAGATTTTATAAAATTTGAGTGATTTTCATCATAAATTTATAAAAATCAGTTGAAAGTATTTAAAAAATACGCTTAATTTTATAGATTTACATAAACCAAAAAGTAAAAGCAAAAGCTTCCAACTTTGATGGTTTTTAAATTAACGGTTACATTAAAGTATAAAAACCAAATGTTTAAAAGATGTTTTTCCAAATTTATTAAATATACAGGATGTAAGACTGCCATTACTTCAGTATGAGATAGAGTAATCATATATGAACAAAAAAGTTGTATATTACAGGGGCGTAAGATAAACAGTTTTGAAATTACATCAAGTATTAATATTGAGGAGTTTCATCACAACGTCACAACAGCCCTTAACCTAATACTATACAGCTGATGCACACTACATGTGCACGCAGCAAGCTTGTCCTACGGAATAACAAAAATGTAAACAATTATTATTGTGAAACATTTAGTAAATTTCAAGACAATTGTATTCCAGTTTTTACATAAATAAAATAAAATGTATCAATTTTGTAGTACGAAGATAGTGTACTGCTTAAATTTTAGCTCGAATTTTTATGAATCGCTTAAAACAGCAACTTAACTTTTAATCAAATTATGAATTTGAAAAATATGTAATTAAAGAACCCAAAGAATTACGTCGCTCAAATAATCATACGTATTAAAAATAATTTAGGCACTTACCAAAAAGCAAAATTTAGTAATTTTTAAACGCATATGTACAAAACAAACTACAACATATGCTCAAAATGTCCACCAACATTTTCGATGCACGCACGATACCTTCGATTACAATTTTCGCGCTCTCGCTTACTTAAAAAAGCAAAGAGAAACAGAAACACCTCAAGAAAAGGAAATAGTGGTACGCAAAAAACACTCCGACACGGTCGAATTCCAGATACCAACTGAATTGCGTATTGCTGGTTGCTGGACAGGTTAATACCTCGTGTTAACCGCCGCACCGTTGTCACATTGCTTGTTATGAATGTTATCGAATTTGAAATTTATTTCAACGCTAATTATTTTTTAGAATTAAGCATAAATATGTTCAAAAAAGTGATAAACATTGTATTTTATGGTATTCTATGAACGCAGTTATGTCAATATTCCTTAATTAATCAAACTTCTGTAAATCAAATTGGACAATTTGATAATTTTTTTTTTCGTAAATAGTTGAGTTTAGGACCCATGTCATGTAAGGTTTTTTTTGTTTATTTTAATGTATTCTATTGTCTGTTAAAATTAAGGCAGTCAAACTTCTAACACCCTATATAATCATTTTCGCGTTATTTGAACAATTAATGGGGATTTAAAGAATGAACTAATTTGTCAAACTAAATAAATAATAATACTTACAATAAAATTTAGTTATTTATTTAATTTTCAAGACCGACTCTCTATAACTACTTAGTTTTAGATGACATATCCGCATTTTCGACATGACTGAGTTTTACCTGTCCTTGAAATTAATGGGTTAATTGTTGTTATATCCTGTAAATCACTAAATATATTAAAAGGGAGATTTATAATTCACTTATTTAATGAGAGTTGTATTAAAAAAAATGTTGACTGGGGAACGCCGAATACAATACAGCATGTCTAACTAGATAAATCTAAAAAAATGTTGGATTGCAATCTATACAATTCCAGAAGGGGGAAAGGAGTTAAGTAAAGCGAGCGTGTCTGTAATATTTCATTGTGAGGTGAAATTAATCCTACAAACGCGATAACCGAGGACTGCTAGGACTCTCTAAGGACTTCCTTACCGCAACTGCTTGACACACTATACATTTGAACAATTCATGTTTTGCACGAACTGTCTTACTTCTGTGATTAAAACTAAAATATGTCCAAAATTAATACATTTATTTGGAAATTTTGTAACTTCAGGAAAATACAATTATTTTATGAATTAGTTAGTACCTTAATTTATAATTTAGTCATCTACATTTGATTTTATTTCGCTTTCTAAAGATATTTGATCTAGACCGGCGGCTCTTGACTTTCATACGAGGAAGGACGGAAAAAATTAGATACAAACTATTGGGAAAAAAGTTAAATATAATTGAGCAGTTTTATTTTAAGTACTATTGAAATATAGCGGAAATGTGTTCAACATTATTCTTCTGCTTTTGTCCGAAATAAACTTTTCAGTTACTTTTCCATTAAAGTTTGATATTTCTTGCACTATTGAATTTTCAATAGCATTATTGTTGGTCTGTCTTTACAATCAAATTAAATTTTTATTATCTTTAAAAAACACACATGAAACAATACGTTAAAATTTTACACCATATCTGAACAAATTACGTTTAATAAGAAAAAAGACGTGAATAGCTACTATTTGGTTACCGTCAGCACTGCATAGTAGGTAAATATGCACTGCCCCCACTGCATCTTTCACTTCTGCGCGACGGTAACCATAACCACCGCTGTAAACACTTTACATAGTTTTTAAAACGAATTTTGCAAGTCGAGTTAAATTATCTGCACGTTACAAATTTAACCTTTCCGTTTTAATGTGTTTCATAAGCTAATCTATTCAATTATCCAGATAACATTGTAAACTAAATTTTAAATTAAATTTTTTTATTATAAAAATTTCTAGGGAGTCGCCGCCGCAAAGCCCCCCAGCACCAGCCGCCTCTGATCTAGACTGATAAAACTTGGACTAATTTGTCTAATTGTCAACAAAAATTCAGTGAACTTGTATAGGAATCTGACAATCAGTGGCAGAGATACTGGAAGGTGCTGTCGATAAAAACGCAGAATTCGACGCCACTGAGTATTTTGAAAATGGAATTAGTTCATATAATTTGTATTATTTCCAAGAAAAAAGGCATTTTTCATTCTATGCGAGCTATTTTTGAGTAATTATGATTTTTTTATTATGAAATTTCCTTACGCAATTAAATAAATCTAAAATAACTAAAAACTATCCATTTTACAAAAAAAATTAATATAATTTTTTTGTTCAAAGATTGTTCTAACAATTTTATTCCTAATTTCCTAGTAGAGAAGATATTATTTAGCCGTCTCTTAATCCGCAGTGTTACAAATTACAATTATTCCACAGGCAAAATGATTCAGGTGATTTTCTCACATCACATTCCCTTGNAATTCGAAAGAATTTTTCTACCGCGTGCGGGATTCGATCCCACTACGGTATTGCTGCACTGCCCCGGTTCGCCTCAGTAGGCAAGCCTTGTGGTTTTAATGGAGCTGTATTAACTGCCTTTCACAAAATGAAAAAAATTGTTTCAATTATCAAATTATTGGACTGGGCTGTTTTGTGTCAACACAAGACTCTTTATATGAGAAAAAAGCAACAAAATTGAACTGCGGGAACAGATAGAACTCATAAAAATTAGTATGTAGGTAATATAAAATGTTTTTTCACTAAATTGCCTCGTTAACAAGTTAAGACGTACTTACAAGCAATTTGACATAATAGGTTTGTTTATTAATGTTCCTCACATCAAAGCAATGATTTTATACATAGATCAGGTTATTTCGCCATCATTTTTTTATATTAAGCTGTTTTCGAGATATTAAAAGTTAAAAATCACTCTTTCA